TGGTTTGCCCTATACTCCTGAAAGCTCGCCTGACATTCACATGAGTCACAAATGTTGCAGGTTTGCTTGATTTAGCTTGTCTCCAGTAAAAGAGTGTAGCCATACCCTGCTCGTCCCTGAACCCTCCTCAGCTAACAGTGAACCCGTTCTGGGGAAAACACACCGATTCTGACCAGGCTGAACAGCACCTACCGCTGAAAGATGCGCGGGTCGTAGGTGCCCACTTGGTCAGCAACATCAGGCTTAAACCTTGGGCGGACAGTTCAGTGAAAGGGAACCTCCCAGTTCAAAGCTCTGCTGGTTCGATGTCTTTGGAAGATGTTCCGAGGTGTCCAAGTGGTGCAAGCATGTGCAAGCCAACGGCTCCAATGGCAAGTACACTTCGAACAACCTCATCTTCACCTTCTTCTTGGACGCAGCGAACCTGAAGCAAACCTTCCATCAAGAGAACCTGAAGTTGACCGCTGACTGGCCTGGTGGCCCTCAAAAAGTCTGCCAAGAGGCTCCATATTGTTGAAGACGTCCTCCCAAACAGCAATTTGTACCATGCCCAAGGCTCGAAACCCGTTTGAAGGCCAAGTCTGCAACAAGCACCCAAACAAAAAGGATTAATGAACGTTGATTCAACAAAAAAAACAACAGAATGTCATTCAATTCATAAAGAGCTAAATAGAAAAGTAAGATCACCACCAAACTTAACAAAACTAACCATCCGACTGACAAATGCCCCAAGAAACACAAAACATTGCGTGCTTTCTACGCGGTTTGTTCACAAACCTCAGTTCTGGAGCAATTTCGGATTTGGGTATTTTCACAAGTTGCTGAAAGAAGTTGCGTGTCTTACTCTCCCTCAAGCAACATGTCTGCACAACAACCCCCAGAAATTCTAGGCCTACGCTCTGTCGGTGCTTCGTCGCCGACAAAGAAGCCGCCAACGCTGTGACAGAAAAGAAGTCATCAGAAGCAGCTGTCGTTGCACTTCCACTGGGGGATCATTTAGATTTGCGAACATTCCGATATCTGAGGCGCGGTCAAAAGCTATTGACGAAAAATCGGAGGTCATTGGCTTGGGTGGACCTTGTCGTTTCACTGTGTGTTGAGTTGGCCACATACTTATAACTTATAACCTATAACTATGATCGCATTATACAGTCACAGACCCAGATCTTGTGAAACGTAGGTAATTTATGTCTTTCACAAAGACGTGCTCTGCCTGACCTTTTCCATCTTGTGAACTCCCAATGGATGTGTAATTTCATTCAATGGCAAAGAACTTGAATGAGCTCTCCTTACACAGAACCCAAGTAGGCTCTTGACAATATTTGCAAAACTCATTTTCTTGTAGGAATTACGGTGTCTTAATTGACTTAGTGTTTTGTTTACTACGCGTCATCCCAAACATTGAAACAATGGGGCTCAACAATGCTGGATTGCTTTCTTGGATAGTAAACGCTGGAGCCCGTTGATTCCTTTTGCCAGCCAAAGTTTCAGACCTGAGATTGAGCGCGAAGCCCCTGAGTTCACAAACCTCTGTTTCTGGTCTAGGTTTGGACTTGTTTGGAGTGGCTCTTACCTGATTAACCCACTAGTTCCTTAGACCTGAATTGAATTGACCATTTTGAAAACAAAGCCGCTTAAAGGCTTCAAGGCAAGAACACGATGGAGTTTGGACATAGTGCATGCAACTCACGGGTGCGACTATTATGTACAGTAAGTGACCAAGTTGAAAGAAGGTAGATGATAAGATCAAGTTTTTGCCAAAAGCAAATCATCAAAGCGGCCAGAACAAAGACACAATGTAACATCTTGACCAGGGATGATTTTGGATGGCGACAGAAAGCTCACCACAAACTGTGAAATAAAGTTGAAGTAAAGGAGACGTAGAAGACATGAGTAACTGAGTAACCTATGTCTTGGAAAGATCTGGGCAGTGCTGCAGTTATGAGTTTCGAGGTGGACCTGATCATGCGACAGGATTTTGCTCATGCGTGTTGATTGGACTTCATCGAGTGGAGGGTCTTGGTAGGTAGACCTCTCAATTTTGACCTAGTGATGTTCGGTACGTATGTGATAAAACTATGGTAGTTGAGACTTGGTACCTGCTGTGTTGGTATATTTCACCTAATATCCCCATCTGTCCTGTTGTACATGACAGTTTGATGGACATCAGGCTGTCTACCTTATAACTAGCTTCAATGTATCTCACCTGATCACTCTGGTGGCATGTTCTCTGCGCATAAAACACCTTTGGGTGCCAGTACCATATTATACATCCATCTACCACTGTACATCATGTCTTACTCAGGTCGTTTCGGACCGCCCCGTCGCCACGTCCCCACCGCACCGCGCCCGCCCCTCCTCAAGGCGCATGCCGGCCGCGAGCTCCGTCAAGAGCAGCCGCTGCTGCCGAAGCTCCATGACCTGCGGAGAGCGAAGCTACAGCGGTTTCCGAGGGCAGAAAGGGGCTCGAGGCGAAGAAGCAGAGGCTTGAGGGTGTGGAAATGGATCAAGAGACACTAATAAGGTGAGACACCCTGGAGAAGAGGGTGAGGCGCTTGCAAGCTCTTCATCCATCTATATAATGGGGTGTGGATCAAGAGACACCCAAGAGCTTGCAAGACTGCTAGTTGAACATCTGCAAATAGGACTGAACATGAGGACTGAGATTTGGAGATGAGCAAACGCACAGAACTGTAGAGTTCTGTCTATGTCCGTTTCGCTTGGTCTGTTTTGGGATCTAGTGTAGGCTTCTGGAATTCTGTAATAATTGATCATGATAGCATCCTGTGTCTGGCAAACATGGTGCTTTCATGTCCCCCATGCACGCGTACCAAATCGACCTCCCCTGCTCTCAGCAGGCTGTGGATGGGGCCATCTGCCCGTGTCACGTTCTGTCCGTCGCGTTCATCCATGGCACACAGCGTTCGGTGACGAAGACAATCCGTCGGCTGCCCTGGGAGGCACTGGGGAACGTGACCTCGTCGATCCTCAGGGCGCGACCCCAGCAGCTGGACGAGGTGTTGATCTTCCACATCCCCCACATATTGGTATTAGATTCTGAATAGGGAGAAGCCCGAAGACCTTTGGGAAGATCAAACACAAGCTAATACATATAAAATCATATGAATGCTTTGATTGGGAGGCACATATCAATTTCATCTCTGCCACATGACACTGGAAATCCGGGAGAAGCTAATTGTATATACAATTATATACTAATCATAGTGATCGTCAAATGAGTGTTCGATTAGATGTCTGAAAAGGCGCTTGCACCCATTTAAACAACTCACCTGTGCTCCTTGCATGGGCTGCACATTGTACTGACAGAATTGCACCAAAATCAAACCCCACCTCCACTCAAACGAAATCAATCCAAAAAAGGTTTCAGATGGCATCGGAGCGGTTTATCCGAGCTTCTTTCGTTTAAATTTCTGGATGGAGCCCTCCTGTACAATGATGAGCTTCCCATCCTCCACCTGGCATGCAACGAAAACGCCACGACTGAGTCCTTGTGGGTTGACATGGATATGACGCCGAATTTGACTCTCTCACACACACCACCCTACTGTAGATCTTGCTCAAAGGAAAAGCAAATAAACATAATCCTACCTACCTTCAGGAGGAAAAAAAAGAACAAGCCTGGCAACAGTAGATCTGCTTTCTCAAAGAACAAGTGGCAGGCTGTCGCCGAGAAAGACGGGCATGTCCAGACTGAAGACGTCCCCAGCGACCCGGGAGCAGCGACCCGCACAATGGCGGCGACAAGCCCCTCTTGCGGTCCCCGCAGCTTGGGTGGACAAGCCCAGACGCGACCCATGGGACTGCCATAGGACTGCCGATCAATTGGGGTGGTGCCAGGGGGGGCCAATGTAGGCATATATGGCAGTCCCATGGAGCGTCTGGAAAAAGGAAAGGATCCAATATGTTTTTGATGTCAAGTTCGAAGCGCTGTTGATCCAATGAATGCAGTGGTTTCAGAGTAGATGGCACACACCCCATGATGTTCTTTAGATGGGAGTTCATATAAACCACCTCTTGGGGTCTGTGCCATATATATATATATACTATCAATCCACTATATGTTAGGTAGTCTGGTAGTTGCACCATACACTGAGAACCAAAGTCAACCACAAATTAACAGTACATAACGATATCCACACAAACAAAAAGGACAATCCCCAGCAAACTGGACCCACCCGAGTGCACGTCGCTCCTGTGAGTGCACCCTTTCCTCCCTGCTTCACGAATCTGAACCCGGCGTGTTCCGCTTCGCGGAACGCTTCGCGGAACTCGAGCCTTCGTGACTAAATTGCCACAAGTCAAGGTCGTGGTGAAGACTAAGGTCTTCGCATTGGCTGAGATGTCCTTGGATCACCACTGGTTTTAGTGCCAAGCTTCTTCCACCAAAGGTGTGCTATCGAAGGAAAGGTGACCACCTGCATCGAATATCGAATATGATGAAAAAGACTTGGCTTCTATCTAGACATTTTTTTATGACCTGCAAAAAACAACACCGCCTGTTTGGGAAATCATTGAACACCGCCTGTTTGTCAATCACTGGCACTTGGATGCACTTGGTAATTACCGTCTTGTTGGGCAAACCTGTAAGAAGGTCAACATCACTCAAACATCTGCGATCTGTGCTCCACCTTGTACCCTTTCAGAAGCTTCTCTTCTACGTCTCACCGGCCCCTCGCCGACCACGGGGGAGTTCACCGCCCCAAACGACCGAGGCGCTGCGAAGCCACCGACGCCAGGCACACGCCCCGCGAAGTTGGAGACGTTGACGTTGCCCTGAGGATCCACCTGGACGTGAACGCAGGAACTTCAAAAGGACGTGAATCAATGAAGGCTGGTCATAAGTCAATGACTTTCAATTGATTTCAATCTGTTTCACCGCAACCTTCCAGTGGATGTGGCTGTGGGCAAAGTAGGGCATCGAAATCAAGAGGTGATGCAAAACAACAAACATAGTGACATAGAATGTGCGGCAACACAGATTATTGATTGTTTAATCTTTGTATAGAAATCCAGCAACTGCATGCAACTGCTAGGTTAGTAACCATCAGTTTCAGCCCTTGTGGAGTGCTTGTCCTTTTTGTTGGTGCCCACACAGTGTGATCCACAGCGATGGTACCAGCGATGATGGTGACCGTCCGACGGACCGATATCGGAGACTCCGCGGGTCCGAGGGATGCCTCGCCCACTCCCAGGAAGGCGACGTCAATGCCGCCGCCCAGGTAGAAGTCCATCATGGTGCTCGTGGGGACCAAGGCCTGGACCGTGGACTGAGATCGACTGGGTCGTTAATGACTGGAGCCGGGGACTTGGGGTGCAATGACTGGAGTCGGGGCAAATTGATCAATTATATGAGCTCAATTCTCATGGTTTGAGTTCCAACTGCTCAACTGGGATTCTGGTCGCATTTAGTATTGTTAACTGCATTCAATGTTGTGTAAACTGTGTATATATATAGCTATAAATAAACATATATTAAATTAACTATATAGCCATGCTAAGTAGTATGCTAAGTATTTCTGACATCCTTTCAGCCTAGTGGGGCCGGGACCCGCCGGCACGTCGTCCGGGGAAGGCCGCTGACCTCGTAGCCGACGCTGGTGCCGAAGCGGAAGCCGCCCTGGGGCACGCCGCCCCAAACGCCGCTCTCCACGGTCGACATGAAACCATGAAGCTCGGGGTTCCTCGGCTGGAAGGGAAGGATGGGAAGGAGGTGTCCTGTCGATGAACCGGAGACCGGATTGTAGAGGTTGGCTCAAACTGCAACAGTTTTTGATCATGTTTTGAATTGTGATCCTGATTGCGATGTCTCTGTATGGAAAGTCCCGCCAGGGAGCAAGGACTCCACGTCGAAACGGTGCAAGCCTTTCCAATTGGTCGAGCTCTCAAGCTTGTATCGAACACTATCAAGTTCAAATTCTTCCAGAACCTTGTGCGAATGGATAACACAGCCACAGAATGTTGTCGATCACAGGTCCAATCTTAAACCATACGTGCAGGCACCCATGTTTTTTCACCACGGTGGTCACTCTTTGGGTAAGCCACTGGTGATTTTTTAGTCTTCCGCTTCTACCAAGCGAACCCCCAGAGTATGAGAAACCCTGGCTAAAATATGATGAACTCAAGAGTCCTAAGGTTTTCCGGCCCCCTGACAAGTGGGGGTTAGTGTTTCTTTGGGCTCACGACTCATGATTGAAAAACTGACATCTTGGCTCATCTCTTGCGTCTTGACATCACCGGCTCCCGTCATATCATCCCAGCGAGAGTCTGATGGCCATGGCTGGCCATCATGGTGGCCACGAACCTCGCCCGGAGAAACGAGCATGGGCAAGTGACCTCTGAAGAACCTGGGAGGGCTCACACCACAAAATATACAACAAACACATAATGGCAGTAATATCTACTGTACTGTATCTATATAATAATTATGTATATATATATATATACCACACATCACAAAACAATTTTGAACACATGGGAGGGTGCTGAGAAGCGCATCTTGAGAACCCTGATAGATTTGGAGTCCCTGAAGGTGTCGATCTGTCGCCGTACCCTTTTGAGCTTCGTGGCCCTGGTTTGGAAATCACCCACAACACCAAAAGACGTGGCAATTTTCACAAGACTTGTTCAAGCGTCTCAGGGGTGTTGCTCAGGGGCCGGTTCAGGGTAGATCGCAAAAGAGCACAAAGGCGGTTGAACATGGAACCCCACCGAAATATCTCACTTCCAAAAGATCAGTGACTTCATTTTGCTAGATCATCATAAACAAAACCACCCCCCCCCCCAAAAAAAAAAACAAAAAAATAAACAACACAAATCAAAAACAAGAAACACACAACACAAAACAATAAGAAACCAAAAACCAACTGCTGAGACCAACTTTGACCGGCCCTTTCCAGTTCAACTGCACGCCTAGCCTAGCCCGCCCACCAAATGTCCGCCGCTATCCGCCCACCCCTGTCCAAGTCTCTCAGGAGATCCCACACCAAAGTTGAGCACCTCACCAGGAGAAATTTCCCAATGCGCATCTGGCAGCATGTGTTGCTTCCCAAACAAGCAGATCAAGAGTGTTTGGCACCAAATAGATGATCGATGGAAATGACTTCAGTTACCTTGGGAATTGTAAGGTCATCATAAGAACTGAAGTATCGTGAAACATCTGCTTACTCATCACGTTTCAAGATTTGAGGTGATAGCATGGTGATAGCCTCAGCTTCCAATTACTGTACGGGTCTATTAGACTTTCCGCATTCCTTGTTGGGCACAGCCCCGTGAGAACAACCGACCAAATCCATAAAGTGACTTGAGAGGGAGTTCTGTCATGGGTTCAACTCAAGCATCGTCTCCGAACCAATGAATCCCAATGGGCTTCAGAATTGCTTTTAAATGACTTCCACTGCTGGAGATCTGCCCAAGGCTGCAATGCCGACTCTGGTCACTAGCCTACTTAGCCTACATTCAAAAACACAGTGTCTTTGTAACGAACACCATGTACATCCATGTACCATGTCCCGTTCTCTCTACGATGTCAAAAGAAAAATGCCTCCGATGCCATCTCTCCGAAGTTTCAAGGCACTGCCCTGGGCTTTTTGACCTGAACTCCGATGAACGTGGCGGTGGAACTCTCCGCTAGGTAAGGTGTATCTGTTTTGGGGGGGATCTTCCGAAAGAGGCGGCCTATTCCGAAAGGGACGAGATGTCCGACTGTGGAAGAAAGGCCCATCATCGTTCATTTGGACTATTCTTCGTTTCGGATGGACTGATAGGATCGAAACCGACGAAGAGGTAGTTACAGGTGGGACGGTGGGACTGCAAGGTCAATGATGGGCCCTTACAAGATTTGTGATACTTGGAGTTTGTTGGGTGTTGGGGGTAACCCAAGGGACGTTTAGAAAAGGAGTAAAGCATGATTCTAAAGCAAGTAAATACTCCCCGTCAACCTCCGAACTTCGCTGACTACTGCCAGGCACCACAAACGATGCAAAAGTGAGAAAAAATTGAGAGGCTGGTTGGCTTTGTGAGCAAAGATCTGAGCGAATTTGCCAGTTTGGGCTGATCTTTAGGGACCCCAAGAACCAAACAACACTACCAATTATACAAATGATTGTTTTCAGGTTGGAAGATGATGAGTGCAATGGGTCTCGTACATATCGTCATCTAGAAGGTGTCACTTTTAACAGCATGAGCCAGTTGTGACATGTTGTGACATCATAATTTCGAAAGATGCTGTCAGATGATAAGATCACCACCCAAGGTCAACTAAACCATCCTGGTAGTATGTAAGTCAAATGGAAGGAGCAGGTTTGGAACTGCGCCAGGATGTCCTTATACAGTGTGTGATGCTTGGAAACTCCCCGCACCTCCCTCAGTGAAGGGTTGCTTACACATGTCACTCCCAAACACCAGCAACATACTCCCAATAGTAGTGTGCAAAACAAAGCACCCAACCTCACTGTGTTTTTGTCCAATAAGCATGCCCCGCACAAACGCATATTCACATTCCGTATTCCACAAATCAGTGATGTTGATCTTTTTGTTGATTGTATCCTTCACCGGGTGACTTGAAAGCAACATTTCATGCCTACCCTAGGTAAACCAATAGCTATATATATATATATAGAAATCTGGTTCCAAGATTGGAGCTCTTGCATTTGGATCAACGTGATATAACGTGATGATCCTATGTTGAAGATCTGCCAACATTTGTATAGAATCACGCGGCGGTGAAGCTCCACCTCCGAAAAAAGTTTGTAGAGTCCCACCGTCCACCCGACCGAAACCAAACCTCAAAAGGACCAACAAACGCTGCAAGGACGCAACAAGGCTGCAAAACACACAAATCACCAATCCATAACTTCCATCACCCAAGCAGCCTCAAAGAGTGCTCGATGTGCCATCACACGCTTCTGGCATGCATTTCTGGGACCTGCGCGGCGTCACCGGCGTGGCGTGACGTGCGTCGATGTCACTGCCGAGAACCGAGAGGTGGACAGGACCAAAACTGGGTCAACTCATCCTCTGCCACGGTGCGGATGGAAGGAATGCTGCCCCGTTCGTAGCGTCCGAACGCTCCTAGTAGTAAGGCCAGGATGGAAGGAATGCTCTTTTTGGTGAAACAAAAAGCACAAAATCACCAAATCTGCTATTACAAAGGTCCTTTAATCAACGCGACGCTCTCAGAATCAACACACAGAAACCAGACATGCATTCTCGGTGATTGCATCACCCGGAACATCCAACCATAGTCAAAGCCTTCCCAATGGGATGATGCATGAGACTCTCTTCCAAGCATTGGGGTTGTTGGGCAAGCTGCAAATATCGCTTCAGGTATACCTGTCCAACGTATACCTTCTGTCCAGGGACTCTACCTGCGATTATGGCTCTACAACATTTGTTGGGTCAATTGATCACTTGGTTTCCATGTTCAGTGCGAAAAGTTTTCTGCTTACTGGACCAGATTTGATGCCTTGCAGCATGTCATTAATTGTCATCTCTCTCGAATTCCAACCATACCACAAAGATTAAAACGAAACAAACACACAAAAACCACACCAAATGCCTCCATCACTTTCCAAATTTCCACAGATCGATACAGGGAGGTCTAATACATCTCCAGCCAGTGGCGCCGCGAGTGCAAACCACGCCTTCCCATGGGAGTTGCTCCAGGTGGGAGCGCAAGGGTTTCATCTCTCCGGACAAGGTGGGATCGTACCTGATCCAGCGCCAAAACATACGGGCACGCTCTGTACTGCGCGGAGTGGGCTACTGACCAATCACCCGGCAACTTGCTGAAAACAGCGTGATGGTTCAATTCTCGGACGCAATCCCCAAAGTCTATGCAAAAAGAAAGAGAGACAGATCAAAAAGATGTGACCTGTGCGAAAGAATGAACCAGCTTCTTAGTGCTGGTGTGTAACAATCAAACATGACCAGGCTTTGAATCACAACTATAGCGCGATTAAAGAGAACTATGTCAAACGATGTCCATCCACATGCTTGAAACACCATTTACATCATTGAAGTACCATCCTGAGAAGAAACATCGAAGGTTGGACACCTGCGTGCCAAATCTGTGTGCCCTGAGAACAGATTCACCCAAATCCACCGACGTTGCAACGTTTCCATTCATCTTCCCATCCTGCTGTTTCAATTGAGGATGACTACAGTCTCAGTACAGGTCGAGGAGCAAGCAATAACACAAGCAATCCCATTGTTCCACCGGGTCTCCGCTAAAATCAATTCAATGTACCAGTACTTCTTGGTGCCCTCCCAAAATATGGACACACCTACATCATTAGCACCCAGCAAAAAAGTAAACAGCCTTCTGAGCTTCATCAGGGACACTCTTGATCTGCTGGCGCATAAGTCACCGCAGAATGCTCTTTGCCAGCCACCACCACCATATCCACCTGAGAAACGTCCGAGTTTGGAACAGCAAGGGAAGCCTGGCCTTTGAAAGGAACACCAGGCTAAGCACCTGGCGGCTTCCTACAGTCAAACCACTTCCGCTATAACTAAAACCACCAATTCGTGATAGGGAATCATTCCACTCAAGAGTCAGCCTGGAACACACAAACACACATTGCTCATTTTAGGAGTGCACAATGCCTTCTCTTGTCAAGCACAACACAATGCCCAAACAATGATTCCTTCTAGGTCATTGGCTTCTGCAATGAAAAGGAAACTCTGAACAAATATTCAAGCTCCACTGCAGATTCGCTCCTTTGGGGTGATTTGATATTTAGACAGGTGCAGTTAAGAAACAATTGCTGAACACTTTCAGTAATTTCAGTACACAAAATATCTTCCACGTGAGTTCCGCTCGAGAAAGATTGAAACTCGGGTTTGGGCAGGTAGCATCGAAACACCTGCTTTGACCACACACACACTCTCTAGGAAGACCCCATCTGCCCATCCGATCATCTCGAGTCGATACTGGAGGCATGCCCATAAACGAAGAACCACACACCCGAACACCTCAAGCAAATGAGACAGGACAGAAGAAATCAGTCTTCCGCATAGGACTTCCCATGGCTACTTAATCCACCACTTCCATCGATCCCGAACTCGAAGACAGCCCGAGTCGTCACCCTTGTTAGGTCCAGTGGAGCCACGTGGCTAACATTCCAGGGATGTGAACCCTTCGATGATCCAGGCTTCCTGAAGGCACCACACGCTGCACCTGGACGATGACTAAACCGCCATTCTTCTTCGCCGCCATCGCTTGGTTTAAAGAGTCCAAAAGCAATGGCTCCTGAGTGTTCAGGTGTCGAACAAGTTCACAGGTCCAGGAAGGTCCAGGTGACAAAAGAGACTCACCGTTGCTTTGTGGGGTTTCCTTTGGAGTTCAACGTGCCAAACGATATGGCTTGGGCAGCCACTCAATCTTTGCAAATCCCATTGACTATCAGTTAGGTTCAATCTTAAACGTCGACAGACCACAGTTTTGCCACGTTTTGTGCTTTTTTTCAGCCTTCATTTCTACCGACTGGAGTTGTTCAAATGCTTGCCATTCTTGAGCTATACCAACATGACATCAGCATTACAACCGACGGTGTTATTCATGTTCTTTGTTCTTGCCAGCGCCGGTGCCGGCGACGACACGTCCACCTCTTCGGCTGAGCCAGGCCACGTGTTCGAAGGAGATGTTGCCAGCCTCATCGGCCAGGGAACCCCGCAGCAAGGCCACGGTGATCCTCGGGTCTGGAGAACAGGCGAGAGGGGCCGGCGCCCCTCGAAGCCCCAACGGCGGGTGAGGGGGAGGATCGTACATGCTATCCGATAGAGTAATTCTTCAGAATATCAATTCTTCGTGTGATATCTAATTTGGATGGTCGTCTTAGTATATGTCTTGATTTGGATGGTTGTCTTTCACTCCTTTCCACAGGGAAGTCCGTACAGTAGCCAATACAATGGCACGCAAGAACCAGCGCTACTAATTGGTACCGCCAACCTGGCCAACCCCCAATCAAGGTGTGGAAGATGCTGAAACGATCTGTGGTGAATCAACCGGGACGCAGGACACACCATTTATGTTTGACCATGCAGCATCAAACACTCTTCCACAGAAACGTCTCGGTCTTGACTTCGTCACGCCGCTACAGTAAGCGGCTCTTCCTCCTAAAGGAAAGGACTTCCCTGCATTGAAGTCCAAAGCTCTTGGGCGCAGGATAAAAAATATATTCCTCTCCATCCAAGACCTGTCGCACATCACTCAGGTTGTCTCGAACACCCGGCAAATGTAATGGAAGTCCTTTGTTGGTTCACAATCCTCATTCTAGCAAATTCTAGCAGGTCAATCATAAACCTCTGCCCCCACACAAAAAAAAAATAACAAGGCCTGCCAAGGAGGAAACATCAATCCTTAAAAGCCCTCTGATTCTGTATCGCCGATTGCGATTCCGACTTCTTGCCTCTACGTTTTTGCCGGCTTCTCTCTCAAAGGTGACCGGTTCCACCCAACGTTCGACCCCCCCTCGACCTCTTCCGTGTCAGAAACACATAGATTGGACTCAGGACAGGCTTCTTGAGAATCAGAAAATTATCCAGGCCCATGCAGGCCGCTCTTGACACTTTCCCCGTGTGATCTCTAGAGCACATGTGTCCATGTCTTCACCTAGTAGATTAGGCTAGATTGAAAAGTTTGAGCAAGTCTCTGGGTCTCACCTGGTCCATCAAAAAAATCAATGTCTTGGACCTTCAAAAACACACCAAGCTTGCTAAGAAATCACAGCCCAAAAATTCGGCCTGCAACTTCACCAAATCTTTGGTGGTCTGCTTATTCCGCTTGCCACCGCCCTTCCGCGGGTCAGCGAAGGTATGCAAACCCACCTTGGAAAGGTGTCCTGGCGAAGAGATGCTCCATGAAGCTGTCTGGTGTCCACCCTGGATGGAACTGGACGGCTCATCACGTTGCATCTCCGCCGGTCCATTGAACACCTATTGGATGGTCCTGGTCTTTTCGGTCGCTCTCACTAACCCATTGAACGCCCGCTCAGACGTCCCAAATTCCCCCATTTCCCATGTCTTTTGTTCGGAGACCAATTCCATCCAATTCCCAACCCACATCTCAAAAAACTCAATCAACAAAGTTATTCCATAGATTTATATTGTATATAACGGGGTGTTGTTTTCATCCTTTCGACGGTTCTCCTGGGGCACCATTGGCTGAGCTTCGGATCATGTGAGAGATCTGACCCATTGGCAGGTTATAGGCTTCAATCTTTCCGCTCAAGACGGCGTTCGTAAAGGCTGGACAAACCTAAGCGATGGGCACGGCGTGGACAAACCGCGCGTTTCGGAGACCGCTGCGACGATGGGCACTGCAAAACTCCGGATCCGGACATTGATTGATATCGGGCAATTGGTTGGTTGTGTGGATGCGGGCAGCTTCGGGATGGGCAATTCTACACGTGGAATGGCAGATCTGATGCCATGCAAACAAACACTCAGTGGAGTTTTGTGACCTTGAAATGGATCTGACCTGTCGAGCCTGTTGGGGTTGTCACTCTTCCCCATCCTCCCTCAACTCGAGGGGCGCAACTCCTCCATTCAATGTTCTTTCGAAACCAAAACCCAGAACCAGAGACCTACCCTGAGACAGTTCACTGCAGCTCCAGCGGATCGAAGAGCTCACCCCGCGGAGAGGTTCGCTCGAGCTCACCGCCTCACCGCTCCGAGAGACGTCGGTCCAACCGAAGACGGCCCTGGAGACCATAGGGGTCAAGGGCTCTGTACCTGGGCTCTGTCGGTTAAGGCGACGACAGATCGACTCCTTCTTCGGGTGAGGAGCTTCCTCGCCATGACGAAGGCGGTTTTTCTCGTTTTGTTCGACGACCCAAACGGTGGGGACACCTCTCAATGCGCTACGCGCATCGCCGTCTCTGCTATCGCTTTTGGCGGACAAAAGACTGTCATCTGACGTCCCTTTCCCAAGTCAGCCATAGGTACAAGAAACTGGTGGATCAGTTCACGCCTGAGTGGTTTGTCTAGTTGCAGAATTTTGTTGGTGAACTAGCAACACCCGCTCTCCGAGCAGCACTATGCAATGCTTGGAAACATGGGGATAGATAATCATGTGTATGATTTGATGTAATCATCCGGGCTGTGACCTTCCTATTAATTAGCTGGCGTGGCTTTAATTAGTGCAAATGATGTAGGTTTCATAGATCTCGTGTGAGGCGCCTCTCCCTTCACGATCGCCCACAATGATGGAGAAGACCATCTCCAGATCCCGAGGATGCTTTGTCTTATCATAGCCTCACTGCGTCGTTGGTGGAACGCTGGAGTAGCAAAACACCTCCCTCTGACCCTCTGGATGTTCAGCAACATAAGCTTCACCATCATCACCCAGCATCTGTGGTCATGCACTTCGAGGAAGTGTGGTTGAAGCACCCCCGAATCAGGACCCAACTATTTGAACCGACCAGCAGTTAATCACATGACTCAGGACTCTGAAAGGACAGACTGTGCAAGTTGACCTACCGCTTGGTTGACCTACAGTACCCGGAAGCTCGTAAGCTACATTGGTGAACCAGGGCTCCCGGTTTTGGCCCCTCCCCACGTTGGCAGGAAATACAGCGAGTTCTGTACTGTACTGTACTTTCTCTCTCTCTCTCTCTCTGTTCCTCCAACGCGTGAAGCCAAGAGGCCCGAAATGGCAGATCCAGTACGGAAGGGATTTTGTAATAAGTTCCATCAAGTTCCCAAACACACCTAAGAACAATTAAACACCTATAGAAGGTGGGCGTGTCCAACCTCTCCAAAAGCTTTTTCGGTTTCCAACCTGTGGAGAGTCCCTGGCCTGAAACCCCTGGGGTGTCCTTTTTGGCTCTTCCCAGTCGCGCTTCCGTAAGGCGGTGATCAAGGCATCACATGGCCTCAGAAATTTTCAGTGGACATGTTGCAGTGGCTTGCACAGCTTGGAGGTAAAATATGTGTGTATACATATATATATATATTATTACTGTATGTGACATGTGTTCGTCCTATGGGTTGAAGGGTGCAGGTGGTTCATCCTACTGGAAGGTTCTCCAGCAGCCGAAGCAACCGTTAACCGGGCATTGGCCAGTGTGACTGGCCGTGACCTTGGCATCTGCAGGTGGTGCAGTCTTCCTGTTACCACGTCGGCTATGGGGTGATGTGTGTAGTTGGTTGGTGAAGTGACCCTGCTTGTAGCTGCCAATGTAGCAAAGAAAGCTTGGATTTCTACCAGCAAAGCCATGTATGATACCAGGGACATGTTCTTTCCAGCTACACTTTGGTGGCTCCAACTTCAATTCTGCATGCAGGAGACCCATCTGGAATTTCAAACACATCATTCAGAGACGGTCCAGGAACTCTCCTTTTCGATGCGTTCCAAGAGGTCCCAAAGGTCCAAGATGGCGCAGTTCCACGCTAAACTGAACAAAAGAACCAGTAACCACATCTTCAATCATCAGATAGCCTGGGAAGGTGTTCTTTGGTTCACATCTTCGATCTTCAGTTCTTTTTTATCAAAGAAGATGGACCTGGACTTCTTCTCCCAGCGAGACACCTGGACTTCTGGACCTCCGGACCCAGACCGACACACACCTGGACCGAACGGATGGCCGACGAAGCCGTCGCCGCGTCGCCCAACCAGGTCCGAAACCGGCTGACCAGCGGCATGGCTGCGACAAAGCCCGCGGAGGTCACAGAGTCCCCGTCCAGAATGCAGCTCGCCGCCTCATGGCCGCTCGCAGGTCGCCACGGTCGCTACGGTCGCTACGGTCGCTACGGTCTCTCTCAACACGACCAAAAGAAGATCGCCAAGCACTGGAAGATGGAGGGAATGCCTCGAAACCGCTTCGGTTGATTTGTAGAGCTGCCCAAACAGATATGGCAAAATGATACAGGCCTAAAGAAACACAAAGCAAGGCAATGGGAGTCGATTCTGCCAGAAGCGTCATATTCCAGTTGTATGAAGATGGATCATATACTATACTGTTATGAAAAGCAACTCAGGAGGCTTAGCGCGGTCCAACATACGTCCTTCACTGCTCTTAGTAGTGCTATAGCATGGTGAGTTTTCTTGCCACAAATTCACAAATGCGGTCCCTCCGGGCTCGGTCGCGGCCTGCTCGGCGGAAACGATCTTAGACCTGACAAACAGTTGGCGCGCTTCTCTTGTCTTTTCGAACTGGCGATGGGCAAATACAAGCTTTTGATATTGTGGGAGCACCAGGAGTACCATTGTTCATGTGTCACACATCATATAGGCTGGGTGAGTTCAGCAAAGTGCAAACACCCTGAGAGCTACATTGTATATTCCATGGATGCCTTGCAATCAGTGTCTGGCAGCTATGTGTACTGCAGTGGGATCTTGTCAGAAAACAAACACAACACATCTAAACCATCCAATCTTCTACACTAGTAGCAAAAGCAACCTCCGGAGTGTGACTGTGACAGGTGACAGGATCGGAGGGGTAGGAAGCTTTCCTTAGTGAAACGATCCTCTGATCCCTTTGACTAAATGCATTAATTGCCAAAATGCAGTAAAGCTCCTATCGTGATCTATCATGCCATATGTACATATATATATATATATGCACATGACATGATAAATCCCTAAGAATCGAGGATCCTCAAAGGTGAAGATTTGGAGGGCCCGAACTCCTGCGTTCTGCAGGGTCAAAACCCTCCTGAGAAGGGTCCAATGATGCTTTGGGATATTGTCCTTTTCAGTTTGTTCTATTTATCACTGCTGGGACTTCCTAAAAATCCGGATGTTTGGATGCTCCAAGGGGCTTGGTGGTGAGGCTCTTCCGGAGCTCTAGGGTCTGCCGTCTTAAGGCTTCCAGATCCTCTTCCTCCTTCTCCTTGGGCTCGGCAGAACGCAAGGGATTGCAAGTCTGTTAGCTGGTAACGCCATAATCTTTCCCTGCTTCAGATAGCAACCGGCTGAAACCCTTGAACATCTATCCCCATGGCCCTATGTGATCTTCATTGCAAAAGCCAGCCAAGCATCTCAAAGCCAACCAACATTAAGCTAAAACGACATTTAGGTTATCAACTGCCACACCAAAAAGAACCGCCTCCTCTTTCCCGGACATCATTCATCCATCAAGGGCACTGACATTAACTGTAACATTTCAACAGTTCTCCACCGACCTCTTCGCTTTCTTTTCGCCAAACCCTTCGGCCACATTCCGTTTCGCTCCCCTGCTCTGAATCCGTCGCTGAATCCCGGAACCGGTCCGGATCTGCGAGTGTCCACGACCAGTTGAGGCGTTCGGAGCGCCAGGTTCACCACCACGCGCCCGCGGATCTGCCCCGCCAGAATCCGCTGCGCCGCCTCGTGGAGGTCCTCCAACGCCACCTGCGGATGGTGATGGGGGATGAAGGGCAACGTACGCTTAAGTTCGTTGTAAAAGACAGTGATCGACAAATGAGCCACTTATCAGATGTACACCGGTAAAAAGATTGAAAACACATGAAAACAACATAAAACAACACATCTAAAGCAAACAAACATAGATCTTCGTGCAGTCTTAAATTTCCACCGCATGGACACATTTGGAGTCTTTGGGATGTGATGTGTAATCTTGGAAAAATACCGGGCTACCACTTTTTTCACAAAAGGATCTGAATTCACGAGCACCCTGCTCGCAGAGAAACTAGGCATTTGCCGATTCAACAATTTTTGGGGACTCAACTGACAGAACACCAATGGATTTCAAAGACACAAAATCGAATCTATTGGTGTGCAGGAACACACATCAATTTTCTATCGATTGCAATCGTAGGTAACCTGAACATTTGGTTTTTCAATTGATCTCCATTGTCGATTTAAAAACAAGAACTGCACGTCCAACATCTTCATGCGACCTCGTCCAACCCCACCTTTGGTCTTTTCCAAAAACTGTAGCACAGTACACCACTGGAGCGGCGGACACGATACGCCGGCCACTGAGCGGCCCGTTTCATCAATGAAACGCCTCAGTGCGCATGTTCTGCCAGATGTCCTTCGGCACCTTGGCCAAGTCTTGCCAAACAGCCTTCCGCACCTCCTCGGTGAAGCAGGACGGGGGGAGGCACCAAAAACTACCTGTCACAATAGGGTTGGAGTGACGAGGGGCGGAAAACATGGTTGCCATGTGCGGCTTGGGGATCTGCTGATGCACTTTTTGGAATACGTGTGGTACGGTTTCCTTGTTTTGTTTGAAGACATTTTCTCAGATGGAGACAGCATGCAGTGAACCTATGTATCGATAAGAAGTTTGCTGAAGCGCAGCTTAATGTATTTTTGCTACGATCGCAGTGATAGGCCCCCCCATGAAGCCCTCTTTTTGATTCATCCCAAGTAGGAGCCAACTAGTAGGGAAGAGGTAGGAGCAGGGAAGAGGTAGGTTTTGGTAGTTGGGAGCAAGTTGGCCACAAGGCTCCATTGGGAGAATAGTCAATAATCTCTTTACTACGAAAAAGCTCTTGAAATATAGTTGGAAATACTCGCAAATACATCTGTTTTGTTTGTTTGGGTGTTCTTTGCGCAGAGCTATCTATAAATAACAACCTTCAATGCAGTTTGCTTATTCTGCTTATCTTGCCTTTAGTGGGTTGACCAAAAGGGGCACTGAGAAAACTCTTGATGGAGGCGTTATAACTGAGTCTGTCGAGGTTTAACCACTAGTCTGTCTTTTGAATGCACAACCGGTCAAAATCTGACTGCGCCTCCAGGAAGTCAATGAAGCCAACAAAGTAGTCAACAATGAAGTGCGTCTTGAGGAGCTCCATCTCGCCGTTCCCAACTCAAGTCAAGTGCGCTGCTTTGAGATCACTCATGCGATCCATGCAAGAGTAGGTCTGCCACTTTAGGGGCATGACCACTGGATCGTAAGATGGCCTGCATCCAGTGTTCTTTGCCAGACAACTGAGCGTCGTTGTCCAGTCAGCTCGACTGCGTGCAGTATTGGGCATCTCTGGCTTTGGCACGCCTTGTGGCAGTGGTGTTCGCTGATTATTGCCGTCATCACTGCCCTCTTCCTCAGCGTCGCTGTAGAAGCAGTCGCCGAAGGGGATGTTCTTTCGCCCACGCTTTGGGCATGTGGCGACGCGTTGAAGCAGTCAACGACGCAGATCGAGCAGTGCATACCGCGCAGGCGGCAAATGCACGCTTCCAATTATTTCCACATCTGTCTTGACTGGCTCCAGCCAATTCTCATGAGTTTGCTTGGCCTTGCTGTAGTTGCCAGGCAGAGCAAATCCGTCCACCCGTCCGCGCATCTCCCTGGAGCAAGACATTCCTCAGAGCCTGCAATGATTGATTGCAGGGTTTTGGTGATCCCTGTCCGTGCGTGGGTAAAGACCCATCAACACCCATCATGTAGATCCCTTCCTCGTGCATCATCAAGCGTCGTTGTTGGAGAGCCATTGTTGAAGGGCGGAGTGGCCAATCACTTCCAGTGGGCCACGCATTCCTGAGAGTCTGCATTGGCTCCGGCCGATTGGCCTCTCGACTGGCTCCAGAAAGAGAGTCCAGAAAGAGGCTTCTGAAACTCAAACGCGAACTCACCTCTGCGCAAGGTTTTGGAATCTTCTCAAACCTTTCCTCACTATTCTGAGGTGGGATCCAGATTTCAAGCAGTCAAAGCAGCAACAAAATGGCAAGAGGCCCGGCAAGATAAGAAAGTTGGCAGAAAACAAAAAACAACAGCTAAGAACCAAACCAAAAAAGAATACAAAGGCTACACCGCTGCAAGCCCAGCGCAGACCAATGGCAGTGTACACAGGGCATGTGGCGCAGACCAAGCGCAGACCAATGGCAGTGTACACAAAGCATTGGGCCGCAGACCAAGCGCAGACCAATGGTGCCACGAGGCTTTTGGTTTTAGAATCTGTTCAAAACGTTCCTCACTATTCTGAGGTGGGATCCAGTTTTCAAGCAGGCAACTCAGCCACAAAACGGTAGGAGGTGCTGCAAAGCAAACAATTTTGCAGAAAACAAAGAACAACAGCTAAGGTTCAAACCAAAAAGTGTACGCAAGACAGGCTAGCACAAGCCAAGCACCGGTACACAAAGGATAAACCAAAAAGTTCACAAAAGGCAGGCTAGCACAAGCCAAGCACAGACCAAATGGCAATGTACACAAAGGATAGTGGTGCAGACCAAGTGCGGACAAGTGCAAACCAATGGCAGTGTGCACAAAGGATAGTGGCGCAGACCAAGCACAGACCGGCGCCCAAGACGCCCCTTGGTGTCCAATGAAGTGTTCTCTGCGTCGCAGCCGGCAAAGGCCATGCACTGCCCGACATGTAAAGTTGTCCGACCCAAAAATGAATCTGTGAAGCTGCGAATATTAATTGAATCTCATTAACTAGTTCTTTGATGACTAAGCAAGGGCGAGGCTCACCCAGAAACTATAAACAAAAAAACAGTTGAAATTGTTTGTGTGAAGCTGTGACTGTTGGAATGTGGAGTTGTGGTTGCAGCCATGCCAGGGAATTGGAGTAAGAACATGCATGGCTGTCTTGAACCCTTTTCCTGAGCCAACAAAAATATTGCAAGATCACACAATGAAACCCATGCTTTGTCACGGACAATCGAGTCATTGATACGACGTCTCGGCAAACATGCCAGTGTCACCTTGAAGACCATATCGTTGAAAGCAGCCAGGCCGTCGTTGAAGATGAAGTCCAGTCCGAAATGTCCGACCCAGCTCAAGGTTTAGTTTACTATTACTATATCTACTTAGAAACTTCTAGCGTTGGACCAATGATCAATGACTGCACCTGCACCAAAATTTACACTGCTTCAAACAAGCCAGTCATACCAAGTGGACAAATCATGCCAAACAATTGATGATCAGAACTCAACAGCTTTGGCAGTCACCCTTTCAGTCATGAGTCATAACCTTGACGTAATTTATGGGTGCCCTTTGAGTGCAGCAGTAACTTTGGCTGGTCATTTCTGGAGATATCATCTTACACGGTTTGAAGCCCTTTACAAGGAAAGCCAGCATGCAGCAGCTGTATTCCCATTGAATTGTTGCACTACCCCCAAGTGTCACACTCCGTATTTGTGGCCTTTAGTGGCTTGATAGCCACCATCTCAACTTTATTCATATACTAATTATGGCTTTGCTTTGATTGTTCGGTTCACCAATACCAACCAACAACAATATGTTGAGCTTCTTTTCCAGCCTTTTACAAAAGTTGGTGTCAAATCTCACGACACTTGACCTTCCAACATAATTTCCAGGTGCCTAGCTTATGATTACTGCAATTGAAAAATTTAACTGCCACCACCTTAAGGATTCTCCGACCCTGCAAATCATACTACCCAAATTGAAACCCTTAGATTCATACCAGGATAGAAAAACTGCTGGAACGTGCAATTGCAGCACTAAGTATACTCAACTGAATTGAAGTATGGAATCAATAAATGGAAAGTACATCACAACCCGGGTGATTAATTGTTAATTGAAATACTGCGGTTTACAAGTTCTTGACTAACAAGGTTTATCAGGTAATTTCATTTTTCTGAATCAAACAACTTTTTACATGCTGGCATATACTGACAGTCATGCAAATTGATGCTGATCAAACACATGTCTAATTTCTACCTCTTCCCTGCTCCTACCTCTTCCCTGCCAATCGTCCCGTCTGATTTACATCTATTAATCTGTTCATATTTAGCGGGAAAACCTCAATCCCTCCGCAGTTTCAGGTTAAAGGTTATCCACTTTTCCTGGATAGGCGCACGTGCAGCCAAGAAGGGCAAACAAAATACAAGGGCGCTCCCGGGTTTGGCAGTCTGACCTGTCAACGCCCAGCTGAGCTTCTGAATCCCGCTCCAAATAGGTGAGTCAGCCCGAAAGGAAATCGCACATGTCTTCGCATATCGCGTTCATTCACGTGGGTCGCTTAAGTCCGAGGCTGAATGAAGCCATTCCCTCTCAGATCTACACTTTGACTCACGTTCTGGGGTGGAAACCATTGGAAACCTCATGCAAACATCCCTGTTCACACCGGGAGTGCCAAATCTTTAACCGGGATCCTCCCTTACCGAACCGGGCCCCGTCCACCATGCCCCGAACCTCGCGAGTTCGGCAGCGAACCGTCGCGCGTCACGGTGAAACACCCTCGGTCGACGGGAATCTGTTGGAGCAAAGACTGAATCAACTCCGTACAGCTTGACACCTGCGGCGTTCAAGAGCGCTACATTGACAGAACACCCTTGGACTTGGACACGGACCGAAGTGAAGGGCTTTGCAATTCTGCCCGAGAAACGCGAGAAATATTACTCCTCAACTCTCATCAGTTTACATGTCCTCAGCCTACTCTCTTACATGGAAACAGACCTTTATCTTTTCCACCAAACCTCCCAGGCGTCGAACAAATCGTCTCGCGATGTCTCTGCCGTGCGGATCTCGGTGTTTTCCACCTCGAATGATGAAGGGGTACACGGTGGTCTTGATGGCCTCGGTCGAAAACGATGCGGCTTGGTGGTGCGGAAAGAGGAACGCACAGACATGCAAAGACCCAGAAAACGACATGCTGAGAATGCCAACAAAAACCAAAACACTGGCTTGATGATTTAGAACCAACAGAAACCATGCCCGGACCTGGCCCAGCACACCCCGCTGCCATTTCGCCACGGCACAGGGCCGCCAGCCACCCCACAGCTGGCCAACGTGCAACCGTAGACCATCTGCGAGGCAATGGTAGGGATCGTCGGGCCTCCGGCACGAGTGACGTAAGAATCTGGCGGCCAGGCGCATGGAACAGACTGCACGTCAATCCAATCTTAGCAGCCTGGTGTAGGCATTAAGCTGCAGTCACCTGCTAAAATATATCTGAAGCAGCAGTCTGAAGCATTGCCCTTTTGCCTCACAAGTAGCACACAAATCAAGGTCTAACAAGCTGTCAAATATGCTACGTAATAGGTTTAGCAATCAATTGGATGAATGGCATTGCCCTTTCACGTCACAAGCAGCAAGCAAGTCAAGGACCAACATGCTGAAACCTGCTATGATCTAAAGATATCTAAAGCATTGGATTGAAAGAATGGCCTTGCCCCTTCACTCCACGAGTAGCACAAGTCAAGGGCCAACATGCACAGCAAATCTTTTGCGCTGCCGCATGTCATATCCATGAATCTACACGGGGCAAAATAGGTGTTCCGTCCTCTCACATGAATGACGGTCAGGTGAGTCAGGTGATTGGGATTTGGTGAGTGTGTTGCTTTCCACGTCCACCCCGTTATCAATACAGGCTAAGTGTATTTGCAAGAAAAACACAGAAACACATTTTGACGCGAGGTGACCGCTTGGTAGTTACTGTACTTTATACCCTTGTGATTCTCACAAACTTTGACAGTTGTTGACAAAGGCAGCAGAAAAAAACAAGCATTCAGGGAGACAAATTCAATTACATCTATGCATTTGGGTGGTTTGTCTTCACCTATCTGTGAAGCAACACCTGCTGACCATGCGGGGGACCTTTCGGCCTTTCCGGGGGGGGGGAAATCACCGCTGACCTCCGCTTAGCCATGCTTTGCCTCTTCAGATTGGTCTCCATCCCCCATGTTGGACCGTCATCCTCCCCGGTCTGACACGAAGCGAAGCTCGTCCTCCGCCGAGCTCCGCTGTTCGGCCTCCGACCACGTCGATGGCGCCGCCCCAGAGCTGCTCGTCCAGCGCCTTGCTGTCGGTGGGCAGCGCGCCCACGATCTCGGTGGCGCCCAGAGCGCGGAGGCCTCGGAGGGTCGGTGTTAGAACTGGAAAATGTCCACCACTTTGGCACAACACCTTGGTGAGATCCAGACTTTGAGTTCCCAATCGTTTCCTCTCTTTTGAAGGGAACTACTACTTCTTGGGCATCTGACAGTATAGCTATGATAGCATATAGCTGCCATTCAGAAGAGGTCTCTTGACCCCAAATCTACTGTTCCACAGATCCGTTGAGCGGGTGACGGCTGTGCACAAGTGGCGGTGTTACAGGTTTTGAGACGCCACCACATGGTTTGGATGGTTTGGATGGTTGAAGAGGGGAACTTCTTTTCGATACACTCCCGAAAACTAACATTGACCCGGGTCGAATGGCACCCTCAAAGACTGTTTTCCTCCACAAACCAGTGTTTTTTTTCAGAGTCTATGTTCTTTTTCAGTGGGTAGATCCCGACTGTAGTCACCTGCCAACCACAGCAAACTTGGAAATTCGTTGCTGAGACTGCTGTGACATCTTGCACGTCTGTTAGGAAAGGAACAGCTGTGATAGGCCCCAACTACATGGAAGCCAAAACGAATCGTTTTCAAACTGAACGACTTTGACATCAAACTCATGTGGCTGTGTAGAGCGTAGAGTTTTTGTGGACCAAACATACCTTGCAACCGCAAGCTATTGGCGCATAATTTAAGGTGATTCATTGGTTTTATATCTAAAACAACATAGAAAGGCATTTCGTCTTGCAGAAGACTACTTCTCCCCAAAAGAGCTGGCCTGAAAGGAAGGTTTTCCAACGGTGTTTGCCAGTTTTGCCCAAACATGCAACGCACCGCGTCTTCACGGTCTAAGACCAGGCCATGCATCGCTGCTCAGTGTCCTTGAAGCGGGTACCTTAAGCCACAGGGCTGGGAATGCCCCATCAACACTTTCCCAAAGGTATAGGAGTCAACCGTGGGCCCAACGGTCAACCTTTCCGCAGATCATGATTGATTCCGCATATCTTCTAGAGACATTATAGTTGCGAAATGTTGCGAACTAACTTGTCGCCCTTTTTTTGGGGTGTAAACGGTAAACAGCAACACGTGTGCCCAAAACCGAACCCCGTCCAAACCAACCGACCTGTCTGGTCCGAGCGCGACGCGCCGCGCAGCGCCCGAGTGGCACGCCGCGACGCGGCAGCCCTTGCGGTTCAGCAGGTAGATGGCGACCGACCCGACGCCGCCGTCGGCACCTGTGACGAGGATGGGCTTGCTCCGGTCATAGCCACTCTCCTGGTGGTGAACATGAAAGAGTGAGACGATGTGAGACGATGTGCAATCAAAGGAGCATGCAAAGAAAGGTATAGAAAGGTATTATACTATACCGACTATACCGCCCTATATACCTCATGATTGGGCATCATGAATCACGTCATATTTGGCAGCTTATGAACCTGCCGGGCAGTACGGGGCTTGGGTTGGCACTCCAAGGATAGCGTCAAGCACAAATATGGGACCAGCGTCAGATCTGCTTTTTCGACGGCGGCATCAAGCTCAATATACAAGAACAAAATGACATGGCACAGTAGCCCATTGGTAAAGTAATTTTGTAATCAATCAAGGAGAAAAAATGAGGAAACAGTTCGCCTGGGTCTGGTTTTGACATGTTGTGTTCTATCCTAATGGTCAAACAGATTCAACAAGTACTCCTGGAAGATTTCTACTTTTGCAGCGTTCCCCCGCTCCTCCAAGGCTCTGACACACAAGGCCGCCGTGAAGCCCGCCGTGCCGATCGTCATGGCATCGATCGCTGAGAGCTCAGGGGGTAGAGGCACCAGCCATTCAGCCTGGAGACTCCGAGGATGGCAGGTCTGGGGCAGCCCCTAGTAGCGTCCTTGCTCCTATAGTAGTAAGGCCAGGAGGCAACCGGTCCGTTCTGTTCATGTTCGGCGGTCCCCGGAGTTCTTCACCCACAGATAGGAGGCCCTGGTCTCAATCAAGTCGTCAACGGGTCGACCGTCGATTGGGAGTTGACCGTCGAAAGATGTTCAGGAAACGTCCTCATGGACGGAATTCGTCATGTTCCTTCAGGTGGTTTCGGTCGCTCCCCTTGCAACCTTCTCTTTCCACTAGAGCTTAACCCTTTCATCTGCAGGTGGAATGGATCTTGGATGTCTTGGTCTATCCTCTTATTCCGATCATCGGTCAATTGTATAAGTTCATAATTATACTGCTGGTTCCTCTTGAAACTTTGATGAATCAATCACATGCATGGCCACCGATAGGCACTTGGTGCCATGTCCTCATCCTCAACAACCGTTCTGCCTCTCACCCCCCCCGTTCGGCCCCGAAACCCGGGTCCGTCCGTCCCGTCCAGGACCCACCTTCACGCTGGCAAATTCAGCATGTCCACCGTGAAACTTCTGCCCCATCTCCCACCCAGTCATAATGACCTTGTCGCCCTTCTGAAAGCCCGCTTTGGTCTCCTCGGGTGGACACAGCGAAAGTGGCAAGCGAGATGAAGCGATCCGGGACACCGTTTGGCCTTTGGTGGAGGCGTGCCTTCCATGAATTGGGTTCTGAAATTGGTGCATGCATGTATACTATCATCTCTTGTGTATACTGTACATACAAGGCCCAGTTCATTCAGCAAGTGCCCCAGCAAAGTGCGCGTTGGGGCATCATTAGGGTCGACATCCAATTGCCGCCAGTGGAAACCAAATATTCTGAATGTCAAAGACTCCTCTTAGATGTGGCAACGTGTCGTGTTGGCAACAATTGTTCCAGCTTGTTCCTTAGGTCCAATTTTGCGACACGATGCTGTCTGATAGATGAAAACCGTGCGGTGGGAAAATCCCACGTCTTCTATGTCTTCAAAAATCTGGCCCTACTAAGTAGGGTTTTGCAGGCCCGGCAGTTCCTGGCAAGTCTAGACTAGTTCCTTCCTAAGAAAGCCCTGCCATCCTTGGACAAGACTTCCTGTCCTTTTCGGGATTGCAAAGATAAAACAAACTATTGCCCCGCTTGGAACACCTCTCCAAGATCAGTGGATGGTGTGTTCCACGAAAAGCGCTGTCTCATGATGGGGTGCAGAAAGAGGAAAAAAAACGCCCGGTGTGGACCTATCTGCTCATTCAAGCAATAGGACCTTTCTGTTTGGAAACTGAGCAGGAATAGGATGGAATAGGGAGGGAGGAACCAACCAGCCAACAAGACAAACAACTGCCGTCTCCAGTCTCAATGGAAGGTCCAAGCTTAAGCAAGAACTGTCAAAATCGTTCAAACACCAAAAATTTGTATACCGCTTGAATCTCGGCTTCCGCTGCGGTTTTCCAGTCTATATAATGCCAGGAACATGTAGGACGGGTATATATCATTCGCAGCGTCCAAGGCTGCCAAGGCTCATCGACGATCCCCACGAAGTCGATACCCGTGATGAGCGGCAGTGTTTCAACCACGCCGTAGATGCCACAGATCGCCATGCCATCCTGGCGTGGGTGGCGTTGGGCGGCGCTGGCAAACGCGCGGCGGCAAATAAGAATGACATGGGAGGGCGGGTGATGGAGGTTGAGATTTCTACGCACTTGGCCAGTTGAATACCTGGGAAATCAAAGAGGAATCTCCCTCGAACTATAAAGTCCGACTGTTCTCAGTGAGTCCTCCAATGCAAGCCTTATAAAATTTGCATGAAATGAATGGGCAAGTTGGATCTCTGGCAAAGGTCATGGAGCCGTTCTTGGGATAATATTGTAATCTAATTAATGAGCAACATCAATCCCATTTTCACCTGCAGTAACTGTACATCATTGGTCTCTGGGCAAAGCCTTTGAATGGTCCAGCAGCTTAGAAGCTGGCTTGGGTGGCAGCTGAGAAACTTCTCAGCGCTTAGTCCACTTCCTCAACGGTGGGGCCACTGTTGCCACCTGGGGCGCCACCCATGTCGGCACCGGGCATGCCACCTTCTGGCATACCGCCGCCGCCTGCGGCCTGGTAGACCTTCATCATGATGGGGTTCACAACGCCCTCCAGCTCCTTCTGCTTGGCTTCGAATTCGTCCTTCTCGGCCAGCTGGTTCTTATCCAACCAGTCCAAGGTCTCCTGAACTGCCGCCTCGATCTTCTCCTTGTCGCCGCCCTCGAACTTGTCCTTCAGCTTCTCCTCGTTCAAGGTGTTTCTCATGGTGAAGCAGTAGTTCTCCAAACCGTTCTTGGCTTCAATCTTCTGCTTGTTGGCCTCATCCTCGGCACGGAACTTCTCGGCCTCCTGCACCATGCGGTCAATCTCGGACTGGGACAAGCGGCCCTTTTCGTTGGTGATGGTGATCTGGTTCGACTTTCCAGTGGACTTGTCAGAGGCCCTCACGTTCAAGATACCGTTGGCATCGATGTCGAAGGTGACTTCGATCTGTGGCACTCCACGTGGGGCAGGGGGGATGCCATCCAAGTGGAACTTGCCCAGCAAGTTGTTGTCCTTGGTCATGGCTCGCTCTCCCTCAAAGACTTGGATCAAAACACCTGGCTGGTTGTCGGCATACGTGGTGAAGGTCTGTGCCTTCTTGGTTGGGATGGTGGTGTTGCGCTCAATCAGCTTGGTCATCACACCGCCGGCGGTCTCCAGCCCCATGGACAACGGGGTCACGTCCAGCAACAGCAAGTCCTGCACCTGCGAGGAGCCCTCGCCGGTGAGGATGGCCGCCTGCACGGCCGCACCGTAGGCCACGGCCTCATCGGGGTTGATGGACTTGTTGGGCTCCTTGCCGTTGAAGAACTCCTGGATCCGCGGAGTTTTGTGACAAACATGTGACAAGTCACTGGAGGCCTGTGTCAAACAGACATGCTCTCTTGAGGACATTGATATGTCTATAGTCATGATGTCATAGAATGTCACATATAGCTTCTCGTTACTAGTAGCTACTTGCTCCTAGTAGTACGGCCAGGAGCCCCCCTAGTAGCGATGCCAGGAGCCCCTAGTAGCGAAGATGGTTTTTGATATACAGCTCTGGGTTAATACATTTTTGCTAAAGCAAAAGGAAAACTCAGGTAGCGTAACCGCTACCTTTCGTGATATTGTCATGTCTACAAAGGTCTTTGACTCTTGCTCTCCTGGATCATCGATTGCACCTTAGGGATTCGGGTGGAGCCACCCACCAAAACCACATCGTGTACGCTCTTCTTGTCGATGCCTGAATCCTTGAGGCACTTCTCCACAGGGCCCATGGAGTTGCGGAAGTAATCCATGCACAACTCCTCAAAGCGTGCTCGCGACAAGCTGCAGGAATAGTCAATGCCCTCGAACAAGGAATCGATCTCAATGGTGGCCTGAGTTGAGGAGGACAAAGTGCGCTTGGCACGCTCGCACTGCGTCCTCAAGCGTCGGATGGCACGCTGGTTGCCGGTCATGTCCTTGTTGCGGTTCTTGCGCTTGAAGTCCTGAAGGCCCGGACTTCGAGTCGATCCAACTGGCTGTTTTGATCCAACTGGTCTACAGGTCTACAGGTTGTGATGAAATATAATGAACGAACGCATACGTATTCGACCGATCAAAATTTCTCCTGGATGCAAAAGTCCACCACGCGATTGTCGAAGTCCTCACCACCCAAGTGGGTGTCACCCGCGGTGGCCTTCACCTCAAAAATGCCATCTTCGATGGTCAACAAAGACACGTCGAAGGTGCCTCCACCCATGTCATAAATGAGCACGTTGCGCTCACCTCTCGAGGTGTTCAATGGTGTTGAAGTGTGCAAAGACAAGGTTCAACAAGCGACATTGACTTCAAACAATGGCTTTTCCTCCCCCGCCCTGCTCCTTAAAAAGGCAAAACAACAAAAAACGCGCCAAGTACACATGTATACTTACATACATGTACATGTACTAAAGCTTTCTCTGGTTGTTAGTCCTTTAGATTATGCATCTGTTAGCACTTAGGGAAATCTCACCTGTGCCCTTCTTGTCGAGGCCATAGGCGATCGCAGCGGCCGTGGGCTCGTTGATGATACGAAGCACGTTCATGCCGGAGATGGTGCCCGCATCTTTGGTGGCCTGACGCTGGGAATCGTTAAAGTAGGCAGGCACGGTGACCACGGCATCATTGATCTTGGTGCCCAAGTAGGCCTCAGCCGTCTCCTTCATCTTCAACAAGACCATGGAGGAGATCTCCTCTGGGTGGAACTTCTTCTCCTCACCTTGCGCGTTCACCACGATCATGGGCTTCTCTGCCGGGCCCGAAATGACCTTGAAGGGCCACAACTTCATGTCCGCCTGCACGTGCGCCTCTGTGAACTTCCGGCCGATGAGCCGCTTGGCGTCGAAGACAGTGTTCTCGGGATTGCGGGCCACCTGGTTGACAGGTCTACCCAAAGCCGTTGACCTATACCTGGAAGGTCCTTCCTACCAGCTTACGTGGTGAACTAGGCGGCTCCAACAGTCTTTTGGAGCCATCTCCCCACCTGATTCTTCGCGGCATCGCCAATCAGTCGCTCGGTGTCGGTGAAGGCCACCTGATTCTTCGCTGAGCGACCAACAGCTTCGACACCGAGCGAGGCTTTGCACTCTTGGGGGTGAACTGGAAACACATGGCCGTGTTGTACTTGAGGCCAGGGGGAGAGGTCGAAAGCTAGCCGAATCGCACCGGATGTACTAGTTACATAGTCGGCAAAGCATGTAGGGATTACATGTTTTGGGAGGAAGGTTGCTATGTACATACTTTGCGCTAAAGAATGTAAATGTGACATCGCTGACTGGGAAGGGTACATTGGAACAACCCGGGTGCACTCGTTGGCAGGCACGAAGATGCGTGATCGGCAAATCTGGGGGGGTAAGTTTACCCTCCGCTTTTGTATGCCTTGAGTCGGAAAGATGGGTAAGCATTTCTGACATCATACGGACTGTACATACACTAGGGCGTCCGTAGTGTAGGAGAAGCACGGGTAAAAGGTATATGGAATAGAGTGTCTTGAGGAAATAGCCGGTGTATGGTTATTGCAAATCTGGGGGGTAAATTTACCCCCCGCTTATGTATGCCTTGTGCTGGAAAGAGGGGTAGGCATTTCTGGCATCACAAGGACTGTGCATACACTAGGGCGTCCGTAGTGTAGGATAAGCACTGGTAAAAGGTATAAGGAGTAGAGTGTCTTGAGGAAATAGCCGGCTTATAGTTATGGCAAATCTGGGGGGTAAATTTACCCCCCGCTTATGTATGCCTTGAGCCGGAACGAGGGGTAAGCATCACAAGGACTGTGCATACACTAGGGCGTCCGTAGTGTAGGATAAGCACTGGTAAAAGGTATCAAGAATAGAGTGTCTTGAGGAAATAGCCGGTGTATGGTTATAGCAAGCCTGGGGGGTAAATTTACCACCCGCTTATGCATGCATTAGGTTAGAAATAGGGGTAAACAACTTGTAACGGTGAAGTACAAGTCCTATGCAGCAAGCAGCAGCCAGCAGCAGCAGCAGCAGCAGCAGCCGCCTGCAGCCAGCAGCCAGCAGCAACCACCAACCAGCAGCCAGCCAGCAGCACCACGCAGCAGCAGCGCAGCATCAAGCCGCAGCAGCAGCAGCACCACCGGCAGCAAGCACCACCGGCAGCAAGCAGCAAGCAGCAGCAGCAAGCAGCAAGCAGCAGTAGCAGCGGCGTCATCAGCCGCAACAAGTAGCAAAGCAGCAGCTACAAAAGCGGCAACCAGCGGCAGCAGCAAACAGCAGCAGCAAGCAGCAGAGCGGCAGCAGCAGCAGCACCCTTTACACCAAGCCACCATTTACACCCAACCAACCACGTTCAACCAACCCCCTACACGGCGCAGCTGGGAGTTGAACCGCGGGGCGGGGGGGGGGGTTAGCTTGATATATCAATCTTTAAGGCACGCAGCCCCTCCCACCACAACATTGCTAAAGCAAAGAAGAACTCAGCTAGCACGCTAGCTTTCGTGATCTTTTCGAAGTTTTGCCTGCACTCTTGAGAGTTCTTGAGCCTGGCTCTTGAACAATCTGGCCCAAGGCTTTGCATAGATGTAAAAAGGGGCCAAACTGAGCCATTATAGGAGTTACAAGGGCTCTTGTGGCACTTTTGATTTGCTACCTGGTGCATATGGATCACTGATTATCACTGTGTGCCAGATCCGCCAGAATTGGGCGAGGTGTCCTTCAGAGATTAGCAAGGCTTAATTACTCAATGTGCTTGCTTTTGCAAACAAGTTCTGAAGGAGAGCCCTCACCTCAATGACTTTTTTCTAAGCACATCTGCACTGGAGCAGTTTGGCATCAATGCCAAATTCCACTATGCCAGCATCTGGCGTGGAGATGTTCCTCAAATAGCTTTGCGACTGCATATCTGGACCCATCGAATTCGATAATGTTCTTGAACTTGGATTGAGGGCAGTTTGCAGCATGGATGATTTCATGCGCCTTGTCTACACCGCTGACCGCATTTTGTTGACGAGGGAAGCGTCTACACAGGCAACGGATCTGTTGACAACATTCCTGGAGTCGTACTACACATGCTTGTTGCACTGCTTCCGGAAGCAACAAAGCTTCTTCAACCTTACTCCAACATTAGATAAAGTTAGACCATGTCCGATATGACCTGCATGCAAAAGTCTTTGGATGATCCAGAAACGCGTGCCTTTCTCAACCCAGCAGCATGGTCAACTGTCAACTACCATGGACGAAGATTTTGTCGGGGTCGTTTCCAGGATTGGGCCATGGTGGCTTAAGAACAGTGAGCTGGTGACTCGTGTATGCCAACACCCCCTGGATAGATTGGTCGGCTGGAGTCCAGACATGTCCAGACAGTGGTGAACTGGTGAGGAGTTTGGCATGGAAAATGAGCATGGCCAAACAAAGGATATATTATATAGTGGTGAAAGTAGACCTGGACCCAAATTGGTCTGACTAACATCGTCTTTGTTTTCCAGCGTTTGCCGATTGAGAGTCCCACATAGGACGGAGTGGTCCGGTTCCCCTGATCATTCGCAATGATCTCCACTCCATCGTTCTTCCAAACACCCACGCATGAGTAGGTGGTGCCAAGATCAATTCCGATGGCGGTCTTCTTGGCCATGATGAATTGAGAGAAAAAAGGGCGGATGTATCACTGAATGCTGAAATCGGCACCAAAACTCTTGAGCCCAAATGGAATCGAATCTGCAGTTCCTTGGCGAACCAAATCACGTCGACCTGGAAGTGAACATTCCCATCGAACCCCACAGTCTTGGCCTGAACTTATAGGACTGAACCAGGGCTGCAACCTACATACCAAACAAAAGCAGCCAGTTTTTAGGTCAATCGGGCTGAAGCTGGACTAACCCCCTCCATTTGTTTTCGTACACGCAAACATGACGAACGAGGCGTCGTCGTTCGACCGTTCGTGTTGTTCCCAAACATCAGTATTACGCACCAATGACCATGAAGAGTTCTCGTGTTCCGCCAAAACACACATCTGTGCAGAAAAAGAGGCACCCAAGCGATCTGGGAGGGCCATTGTTCATGATTTTGTCGGATGACTCCAGGAAGCTGTAGCAGGTTGCCTTCGGACAGGTTTCTCAGCCGGTTTTATAATACATGGTCCATGGTTTGACTAAAAGAACCGGTTGAGTCAGGCCTTGTAGTTCAGTCCGGAGAACTCCACTTTCACACGCACATAGTCATCGCCTCAGAAGACCAGTCGTGTGAAGACCAGTCGTTCTGAATCAAATTCATGGCGCCAATTGATATAAGGTGAGATATAATGATATAAGTATATTATATATGTGTGATATAGGGCGATTCGTTTTGGGTGATACAATATCGTGATCATGATACGAGTAACAGGTGATATAAGCAATTGGGTGCCAGCTGCGAGACCAGGTAGCAAAGGGTGTTGAACGATTCTCATCTGCGTGATGTCAGTATATATTTCTCTTGCGTTTCAAAGGCTAAGATGCAAAATCAGTCAACTGTGAAACGTCTGGCTGAAAGGTACCTCATGGTACCTCCACAAGCAACAATTCAGTACAACTGGAGCATGCTATAATATGGTCAGTAGTTTCACCCCAACCTCAGAGCCACCTCGTCTTCGCCCCCCGCTGCAAGTTTCGCACCCAAACAAACTCCTGCTTTGGAACATTTTGGAACACCCACTCCCCTCCTCGCCCAGCCTGCAGTGAGCTCCTCAAAGGGGATGTCTTTCACTGCGGCCTGCACACTGGCGCCCGCCTTTTCAATCCAACACGCACGGAAGCCTCGGCGAGGTCGCAGAGTGGGGTGAGCCGATGTTCGAAGTGTAGTCGGACGTTTTGATGAGTTGGTCATGTTTTTGCTGGCAAGTTGCAGGTTTACAGATGTTTACAGAAAGTACAGGAAATCCGTAGACAGTCTCATTGCCTAACTAGTGCTCTTTTAAATTGGGATATGGAGGCAATGTGACACAGCACCAGGACAACAGGAAGGGACAATGAAGACAACTACGACTACTCCAGTCAATCAATGAGCATTCAAATTATTAAGAGAACTTATGATTTCGAATTCCTTTGAATTCGTCTGATCTCAAGACTCACTATCCACCACAGGGCAGTTATACAATCTGCACATCGCATGCTCTGGTTTGCAGGTTGGCCCCTCTCAAACGATGTCGACTTGTGCCATGTACTTCATGTACTGTACATTCTGAGGGGTAGAACTATACCTCAAAGAACCCTTTCAAATCCAGGAAGCTCTTTGCCATGGCGTCGGAAGAAAGCACCCGCCAAAGGATGACCGCACTGGCAGTCACGTTTGCTCCCCTCTTGGAGCTAAACTTGATCCCTGCTAAACATCATCACAGCTGCGGATCAAATGGGCACCATTCGAGATTCATGAAGCAGACGGAATGGGCGGGCACCAGCCAGAACGGGTTCCGAAGACGGAAGATAGGCCTTTCTAGAGCCTTTTCTAGATGAGTCCAGCGAACAAACATCGTGCTTCTGAGTCTCAAACGCAATATGTTTCCCCTGCGCCAGGGAGTCTGCCTGGATACATACCCAAATGATAGTAGACGGTCACAACAACTCAAATCATACAGGCTTCAAGAACCAAACAAAGAGAGTTTCTCAACCCAAGCAGGAAACCATGAAGCACCATCATTCCGAATTTGACCTGCTGTGTTTGTGCGCACAAACATCAATCATCATCAAACCACCCCTCAACCTGCAAAACAAAAACACATTGGGTGAACAGTTCTCTCTATCGCCTGCTTGAAGTTCATGCGTCCAGAGTCCATGCTCTTCTTCAGAAAGCTCTGCAGTGCCTCGCTTTTTCTCGACCGGTTTCGACCGGAGCCTTGAGGCTTCTGATCGTGTCGCTTGTGGTTCAAGCTCGTGTCAAAAACAAAGACAACGGAAGAACAAACCTCTGGATTCCTTGGGGGGTGCTTGAAAACACGTCCATCTGCGTAAATGATGTGATCTGTGAAATCTTTGGACAGTCCTTCTGAGCATTGTTTCGCTGCAGGCGACCGAGAAAAAACAAGGTCTCATCCAAGACGGCCCACACCAAAGAAACCTGCAGCCTGGCCTCCATATGTCCCTGCTCCAAGAGATGCAAATCCACAAAGCGAATCCAAAGTCTAATCGAGTTCCGCAACCCACACATATAGATCATCCAACTAAATCGCTGTATATACACAAATAGAGAACAACGTGTTCAAACATGTTTTAATTATAGGTATATACAGTATTTATCTGAACACATATTCGCACCTTTCAGGATTCATGTCTCTTTCACCTTTGGGGCTCGGTCTCCAAAACGCCAGCGAATCACTGACCGAAGCCCCTCCACTGACGCGTGGCGGCCCACCTCTTCGTGGACCTCCGAGGTGGAGCCGAAGTAGTGCGCCGGCCCAAACCTGCACAGCTCGAGCCCAGCGGGTGTGCCAGCTCGAAGACGGGTGCTTGGATCAGGTTTCCCAAGATTGCCGCAAGATTCATATATTGACACAAATAGTTTTGGCTGAAACGCCTAGCAGCCTATTTCGGGTGAACACCAAGAAAGTCTTGCAAGATTCTAGAACACTATGATAATGTCTGTATATGTCTGTGCTTTGCCTTGTTTGCTTGAAACTTCTGCACCACTGATACTCTGAAACATAATAGAATGTTCAATCATCCATCAACATCCAATATACAAAAACAATCAAACGCATACACAATATAATATGCATGTGTTTTAATCGTTTCAAGTTTCAAGGTCGCCAGTATCCTGTATGTTCTTCGGTCACTGGACTCTGTGTGACGGCAAAAAGCTGAGTCACTGGCAGTGATGCAACTGGCTGAAAAAACTCATCCTTGGTGCACCGTGGGCGGAAGAGGCAGAACTGGAGGCTCATGGTAGTGTGAAATAGAACACCCTTGAGCTGAAGTTAAAAGCCAACAAACACTGAGACTCGGTGATCACATAAGCTGGGGTCGCTCGGTTGAGTGGTGTAGAACACGGTCGCTCAACTGCGACGACCGAACCCTACTGCAGCCCACTGCCGCCCACGGCTGCTGACCCCCTTCAGCTTCCGCACCCACTTCACCGTCTGCTGATGCTTCCTTGCTCTCGCGAGCTTGCTCCGGAGCGATTTCCTGGGTGAAAAAGTGGCGAAGAAGATATCGCTTGCATTCCCTTGCCATGGTTGGGTGGTACTGTCCACCTTGCCATTTTTGGGTGGGTACTGTTACTACCACCTATGAAATCATTCTAACAAACATACAGTAACTAAAAGAGGACTGGACCAAAACACAGACACACACTTATAACCCCAAAGAGTCCGGTGAAAGGTCCCAAAACAAAAAAACACCATGTGTTCAGATGTTTTCATTTGCTTCCTGTTGTTTCAATGTTCCAAAAAAACCGGACCAAAACGACCCCCCCAACCTCTCCAACCTCTTCGCCAGCACTGCACAGTGCTCTCTCTCGTCGCTCTGGGTGACGAAACAAGGACAGCTGGGCCATCTGGTCCATGGCCTCGCTGAAGCCACGCAGCTGATCGATGGCCTCCGCGGTGACGCCGCGCAGAGCGGCCCAGGGAACGACCAGATGCCGAAGGACACGCAGGATGAGAAGGTACTGCTTGGCTAAGGACGATATGGGATGAGAAGGGACATCTCCTTGTTGGTGTTGTGTTCATTCCACTGCTTTCGGCATTTCAGGACGATCTCCAGAAGCACCAGGTCCAGGTGGAGGCAATACATGTCACCTGCGTAGCAACTTGCCCCACAACACAGGAACTTACCTGGCTGCGTGGCACCAGTTGTCACAAGGACCCAGTTCATCAGTCCATCAGCCTAACCCCAATTCGAGCCTCGATTGCGGCAGTGAGATCTCCTTCCTGTGGAAGCGAGGGCATTGAACTTCTTGTCATGATGGTCGGTTGAGATCATGAAAAACCGAGAAAACAGTGGTACCAAGCAAACAGTTCCGGGGTCTCCCATGCATGTTCAAAGGAAGTTCACTCGTCTTCGCTCGATCTGCTTGGGATCCAAATGCTGATATATAATATATAAATATTACACTTGGTTCCTGAATGCCAATTTTACTTTGGGTGCCCAGCAAGGGAGCTACAGAAAAACAGTTTGCAAGAACGATCCAAGCAATATCCTCAGAAAATATTGGCTGTGAATGACATTGAGTCATGATTGCTCCCTTTCGGGGACACTCAGAAGTGAAGTACCTTCTATACGCAGCTTAGCGATCAGCAAGCTGATACATGCTGATACACGATGTGGCAAATAGCTTGCGACTCCGGGTTTCCCACGTCGAACAAGTCAGACTTCTGAGGCCAAAATCTCGAGGTGACAACAATGTGTGGCCAACATATCATGGACAGGACGCTTCGCAAATGAAACAGTTCAGTACACCTGCTTTCCATTGTGCACATGTTAACAACATGTTTGTATTGTTTGTTTGCCTTATCTATGAGGCCAAGGACCCGGTTCCAGCGGTTCCAGCATACCTCTACAGGGCCACAGCATGCTGACTCAGAGGATCCCACTATTGTTTTGTTTGTGTGTGTGTTTTTTATTTATCACCATATCTGGAAGAATCTTCACAGACTCAGATTCAGTTTGTTTTTTTTGAGCTATGCCCTGTGTCTTCCAACGCATCTGGAACCCTCAACCGATCTTGTGCGATGGCGGTCACACGCTAG